CGTCGTCAGTGGCTGTCATCGCCACAGCTGTCAACATACTTGTAAACGCTGTAGAAATCGCCCAAGGAGTTAATCTTACGCGTGATTATTTTGAAATTGCCTGCCGCTGCTGTTTGTCCAGAGCTAGCTGAAGCTCTCCTGAGGTATTCTGCATTTCAGTCCTGCTTTCGTTGTGTGGCTTCATGGCGGTCTTCCACAACTTCTCTTGGAGTTCAATCTTGCTGCAATAAACATGTGATAAATGCAGTAGAAAAGTAGCCTGTACTGTTGAGATTGTGTAGCTAATGGAAACTTTAACGTTGGGCGCAGGGGAAACATACGTGTTTCCCGAAGTGGCTTGTGATAACCAGGAATTGTCTGTATGGGCACAAGTAGACCCGGCAGCTGTTACGAAAGAGATGACATTATGTGGGCTTTGAGGGCCGTATGATCAGCAAGTATTTCAGCCTGTTTGGGAGAAGGGCACTTTGGCAGCAGGTTTCGTAACAGTCTTAACTAACTCTGCATCTGCTGCAGGTGCTCTCACCTGTTACAAATAAAAGTCATCCACAGTTTCTCTCTTTAGCGTTGAGATTTGCCTTGAAATAGGATCTGGATCTGGCGTGGTTTCAACATTTCTAGCTTCTTCCATTCTCGGATCCAGTGCACTGTACATGTAAGTATAACAGCACTTACTTAAACTGTTGCATCCAATAATAAAGAATACTTAGCCCTCGCCTATATACTTTTCATTTTCACATTTTAAAAACTGTTCTTTTCATGAAGAAATACTAGCTCAATTCTACAGATAGGGAAATCAAAGCAAAGAGAGCCTAAGCTATTTACTTCAGGTTCTGTAACAATTAAGTAGTCATGCGATTAAATTCTGTTTTCCCACTTCTTGGACAAATTGCTAAGTTTACACTTGTGTTTGCTGGGTTGAATCCTAAATTTTAGCCACTGACTAGTCTTACTGAGGTCTGATGACTAACATTAGTTACCTGGGTGTTGGCGGTACCTGAATTTTATTAGAGACTTGTATGCATATATATATTTATGCAGAGCTAGCATTGAAAAGCAAATCCTATACTTCAGCTTTCAGACAGTCATTAAAACTTCCAGTGTAGCATTGAGTGGTTTAGCTGCTGATACCTTGTGTGTATTTTACCGGCTATTTTTTTATTTACTTGCAAAGTAAAGGATGCTGGGAAGGATATTTTCACTGAGAGGACATAAATTAGCATGTGGTTCACAGGTTTAAACTTCCAGATACAGCAGCCAGTAACTTACACTTTGTAATATTTTGCTTTTAGATGTACAGATATCAACCCGATGGCAGCTTACTGTACACTGGAGACAGCTCTGCTTAACAACGTTCACCTTCAGCCAGTCATTACTGACTTGGTAAGATAGATGTTTCAAGAATATCTTCATATCTTTTGTAATTTTTTTTAATACTTATTACAGATACTGAAAAGTAAGCATAAAGTCTGGAACAAACATTCTCTTAATAAGCACGGATGAAAAAAAGAAAACAACAAAATGCCAAAGTGTTTCTGAAAGAAGGGAAAAACAAACTACTCGAGCCCTAAAATTCAAATTTAAGCTTTAAAAATTAATTGAATTAATTTTAAAAATAAATTATGTAGGTATAGTTTGGAAAATGCTGCACAAGGAACTCTGCAGTGACCTCACATTATCATAGGCCTTCCTCTAATGCTATGCAGTTCTTGGTTCTCAACTTTTTCTGATTTAATTATAAACAGTGTATGTCGTTACTTTTTGTTTCTTACAAAATTTGATACAGAAAAAAGCTTAAGTTTCTCATCTCTTTAGCAAGGTATTTATTTAAAATACCCTGAATATATATGTTTATAAAAGATGATGAAGACAGGCAACAATAAATGTGATATAAAATGGATGAACAACTGCTCGTACTTGAGAACTGAACTGCAGTTGTCACAGATTGGTCATTTTGGGTAACAAGTGTTAACTGATGATAAGTTCAAAATTCTTTTATAGCTAACTTAAATTCTGAACTCAGCAAGAATAAAGTACTACCTTTGTGTCCACATATGTGTCTCTTGCTCTTCTACATCCCATACATAACGTAGTCTTAAGACTATTGAAATTGTTCTGCTATGCACGGGTACTTCTGCTTGATGCTTCTCTTGCACATAGAAAGTAAAGTTTAGTGTTCCTGAGTCAGGCTGAAATGCTTGGAATATCCAGCACTATATAACTGTATTTTTACAAAATGTTTGCATTCTTTATGCTTCCAAAAAAACCCCAAAAGAATCATCAACTTCATCTATAGGTCAAAGGACTGTCTCCAAGATTAAATGGGAAGGTTGATCTACTGCTATTTAATCCACCGTACGTGGTGACACCTTCTGAAGAGGTAGGAAAAATTTGAAATACACAATAAAAATGGTATTTCTACTGTCAGAGGAGAGATGGCAAACCAAATAAGCTCCGGTATGAAAACTGCAGGCTTTTTCTGAAATAGTAAAGGATGTTGTAGGACCAGCACTGTTTTAGTGAAAATGATTTACTAGAGCTGCTTTTGAAGACTATGTAGGAATAAGGATTGCTAGCTGCTGCTTCTCAATACCTAGTTTCTCCATCAAGTATAAACCACGTAAGACTTCTGTTAGGCATGCTAGGTATTCTTATAGAAGACTTTCAATGGAAAACACATTTGTTCCCTGCAAAATGAATATCCTCTGCTTCCCCAGACTTGGGACTCTCAGAATTGGACCCAGGAACACTTAAAGGGTTTACTGGCCACCTTGCATTTGGCAAACAAGCTTATAAAACGTTACAGGAAAATACATACAAAGCACGTGACAAAACAGAGCTCTTTTAATTCAGTTTAAGAATAGAACTTGAAACAAAAGTAGTATGTTCATCGTGTAGAAAGTAGTTTTGAAGTAATTTTGCTGCATAAACTAATCTGCTGAATCAAAGTTGTCAGATTTCTAATGGCAGACACCTAAAGGTAGAGATTATGGTGATGTTTTTCTTACAAGTACCACCGACACTTCTATCATTCTGTATTAAGACAATTTTTACTTCCATTCTTCCCAGGTGGAAAGCCACGGAATAGAGGCATCCTGGGCTGGTGGCAAAAAGGGCAGAGAAGTAATGGATAGAGTTTTTCCATTAGTACCAGAACTACTTTCGCCAGGAGGATTATTCTACTTGGTCACAATTAAAGAAAATAATCCAGGTGATCGCTTTCCTTGGACACTTACATGTGCCAAACCAGACTTAACACTGGTTAATCAATCCAAATGTTGATCATAGCAATGTTCTGCAGCTTACCAGACTTCAGTAAATAAGTAGTACATAACATCAGTTGAATCTAATGCGTGGCGATAGCAACTAATTGAAGATGGACAGCATGTACTGAAATTCATATAGGTGTTCTACGTCATTTTTAGAAATGCTACAGACAGCTAGAGCGTATCTGCATGCTTCATATGAACCACGGCATCTCTCTGGACTCCTGTGCTTCTCATCTTTCAAGTTTGTGTGGGTGTTTAGACACACACCCTAGAGGGACTTTTACATAACCTGATGCCTCTGGGAATCCTTTTTCTGAATTCATGCCTTGTGCATCCAGTGTATAGTGAGCTAGACCAAAAATATAAGCAAATTTACCAAAACTAAGAACTCTCTAGGCTAGTTTGGAACATGGTAATACGTAGGTCCTGAGCCCAGCAGCTCTGCAAGACTTCAGTTCCAAGTCTGAAAGGTGAACTGTAAATCTTCTGAACTAAGTAACAAAGTCAGGCCAACCCTTTTTCATGAAAGAGGATGGCACTGTGAACTTAAAAGGCAAAAGCCTTTAGTTGGAAATGTGAGGTCTTTCATTCTGACACGTGTAGAGGAAAGATTCAAACTTGCTCCTTCCGATCTAATGCTTAATGGCTATACGTTATCAAGTAGTTTCAAGAAGAAAGATTATTCTTTCACACCTGATTGATTAGGCAGCTTTTGGGAGAAGGTGCTAGAAATTTCAGTTTCTCCTACAAACTAGCTTCATAATTGAATTGTTCATTGCTATTAATAATACCAAAATACAGAACTTCCATTAGTAAATCGTAAACTTTATTTGTTCTTGGTAGAAGACTACTTTGCATAAAAATTACTGTCTGAAAGAGTAAGAGGACACAGTTTATCATCTTTGCTTTACAGCTTACGTTCGGTGGATACTTTAACACTGCCTCTTATAGCTGATTTCTAGATAATCTCGGTTGTAACACTGCACTTTCAATTACAGATGAAATTCTGGAAACAATGAAGAAATGTGGCTTAGAAGGCACACGAGTACTTTCCAGGCAAGCGGGACAAGAGATGCTTACTATCCTCAAATTTAGGAAGTCTTGATAACTGCTCTTACTAGGCATGCAGAAAGTTGAACACAGAGCACTGAAGTTGTCAAATCAATTTTTAAGCCAAGATTTTCACCCTCTTAAGGTGCATCCTCACTTCCTGATTACTGCAGTGAAATTGATCAAGACTGTTTTTATTCTGGATGTTAACCAGCTATTATCTGTTGTCAGAGGTACAGTTGTCATCTGGCTATCCGCAGGACAGATGTGAGGGAACTGTGAAATACCCTACCTTGTTGCATTTGCACTTAAGCACTAAAGACTTTTTCCTCTATAAATAGGTATTTGTATATTTGTCATTGTGGCTTATTAAAATAATGTACTTGATATAATTCTTCCTGTTTCAATAGCTAGTCTATACCTATGCTGGGTTTAAATGGATATTTGGAATCAGTGTTACACATTTTGACGTAGTATCAGGCACTCTTGCGGAGTTTGTTTCTGTGGTAAGGAAACAGCATACTTCTGAACAGAAAGATGCAGTAAGTGTATCTCAAGAGCTGCGACAAAGGCAAGCTATTACTCTCCTGAAGTCTTCTGGGCAAAATATTGTGGTGACTTTGTTCCCTTTTATGCCATTTTACAGGGAGGGTGCTACTATGGAGATGTAGATTAGATGAAGAGTTCTCATCCATGAAAAGGTATTAAGGGGGAAAAAAACCAAACATATGCTATTAAAAAGGCTAGGTAGCTGAAAACAATAACTGTAAGTAGAGAAGTGGAACAAAAGTCCTTTCTCAAAGTCACTATCCAAAATAGGAAGCTATATCCTGACCACCAGACCCTGATGAAGAGCTTTCCTCTGCAGCTTCCTCCCTCTCCCGCTGCCCACAGAAGGTTCCAATACTGCATTGTCCCAGTGGCGTTAGAGACGTGTGCTGTGCAGTGGGCACAGGCCTGTGAGGAAGATGTTTTGCTCACACACAGCACCGCTAGCCCTGTTTGGGAGAATATTCTCAAAGAAACTGACTTTTAAGGGTTTGTGTCAACAGAAACTTAAAGTGATGTTACAATAAACCATTAGGGGACTAAGGTCCAAGGGTTTTTTTGTAGGATGCTGAGGCACTAAAAAGACTATTCCATGTAAGACTTCAGAACTAAACTTAGGGACTCTGTACTTACCCAACTTGTACAAATATTAAAAGTTCTTCCATGTTTCGATCTGACCACCCAAAAAACTTCTCTAGGAGACTGAAAAAAGGAGTTTTTGGACAGGCAGAATAACACATAAGAAGGGTAGGTACCGTTTGCAGAAACACGTGACTGCAAGCCTAGCTAGACCACTTGAGGTATTTTACCACAATGGAATGTGAGAAGCTGCTTTTGACTGATACAGGTCAAAAGTCAACGTACGGTGGGCTGGCATAAAAGTTGTTCCTTATACCATCCTGAAGAAAACACAAAAAGGATTGGATAGCAGGAAGTGTGCAGCGGTGATTGTTTTACCTCCCAAGAGTCACCATTCCCCAGCTTAGAAGGCTACTGAAGAGCAACACTGCAATTCAGTTCAACAATTCAAACACAGCTAATCCATCCCCCTTCAGTAACTTTTCTGTCACTTTGTTTTTATATAGATAAACATGAATAGGAACACAAACACACAGTAGGAGGGTTCAGAGGGAAGACTCAGTCATGTTAAGGATGTTATGCGACATTTATGCTATATACAAGAAATTCTAGTACTTGAAAGTACTGAGTGTAAAAAAAATGCGTTTCATTGACCAAAGTGAGGCTAGACTCAGGACTTTGTTGATTCTTACCTTCTGAATAACTTGTCTAAGGAATGTCAGAGTTGAGAAACTGAGAGGAAACTTTGTGGCCATCTATGAAATAGTGTGTTTCCACAGTTTTCCACTGAAGAATTTAAGCAAAGTTTTGTCCTTGCAGCTTACCAACTAGTCAGTTCTGAGAAGTCGTATTTCAATTCGACTGCCTCCTACTTCTAGAACCTTTTTGACTTGATGGCAGACCCTTTGCAAAGCCACACTTCTTTTTTGTTCAGTTTTCCCTTACAAAAAACTGTAAGGAGAGGAGGTTTTATGCTTAGTGATTTTGCTTTTATGTAGTCACGGTTTTTGAGGTTATAATTACAGCCGTAGGGCTGTTTGAATGAACCAAAATGCTGTCATCCTTAGACCGCTCTGGGAGTTTTACGTTGTTAACTGCTTTTGCTAACAAAGTTAGGTTGCTGAGTTACAACATCAAAAGACAATTTTAAGATGTAGTCAAAACATGTAAAAGAATCAAACTACAAGTTTAACAAAAGGAAGTTTTAGTTAATCTGTCTAGCTTTTAGTTATAACTAAAGAATTAGTTTTAGAAGAGGTAATCAAAGATAAAGAAGGGCAGTCATCTGGCATGGTAGATCACAATGCTCAACAGCGTATGCGGTTTTAAATTATAAAGGACAGAATAATGAAAGTCAGAACAGAAGATCAGAACAGAAAGTGTAATAAAACATAACATGCTTTCAACAAAAAACGATTGCACTGGACTGTCTAACAACTGGATATTTGGACAAGAAAATATGTGTCCACTTCACTAAATCATGAGTCAATTCTCCTGGCCACACTGTATTGCTGTCTGCTGCAACTTTAGCAGAAGCACTTGTCAAAACGCAATCCAAGTAAGAACATAGGCGAGTTCTGCAAGAACTGATTACTATTATGCTACCATCATCCTGGTGAAGACTGGGAACTAGTGACAGGCCAGGTAACTTTTTTTTTTTTTTTTTTTTTTTTGAAACTTGCTATGTCTACACAGAGGTCTGCACGTACACTTAGCATTTGCCAGGGCACACCTATTCCCTTCTCCTAGAAGACCAAAGAACGCAACGCTGTTTCTGGAGAGTTTTGGAGGCGTACTGCTGCATTCAGTGCACATGAGAATAAGCCGCATGGTAGATACAGACTTTCTTCGCAGTGTCAAACTTACCAAGAAGAAAGCAAAAATTCTGCTCCCCCAGGCCCCTAGGCACTGCTCTGTCAGCAAGTACCAGTGTGAAAAGACATACTGCTGCTTCGCAAGCGCCTGCGCTTCTTTGTTCTAACAGAACCAAGACAAAAGCTCTCCACAAGGCTGTTCCTAGTAGACAATTTGCAAGTTAGGGTCTGCTAGAAGAGTTTAAGATGCAATACCTGGTTGACCACAAGTAGCCTTCAGATCAGTTATTGAACTTGCAAATAAATCATTTAGAATAACTAGTCTTGTCTGAAACACAGTGATGCAATACAGACAATCCTAGAGGTTTAGTATCAGTGATCAGGAAAACAATACAGCTTGCTCCTTAATCTGTGTTTTCAGTTAGACCTTTTCAATACCAGTTTTAAATCCTTTCCATTCTCTCTCAAAAAATGTCAGGAAATCTCTCTTCTGGAAGCCCAGTGTTACCTGTTAAAAATACAGACTTAAGTTATCAACAGCTAAAAATCATTTCTAGAGCTGTCACCTCAAAAGGGACCAACTTTGAGAAAACATACAGAATCTAAAAAAAAAACACCACACCACAAACCAGCTGTTGAGGTACAGCCAATTGAGTACGCTATAAACTTGGCATCTGAAAATTTATACTATTAATTTCTGAAAGTATCACACAGAGGAAGAGACAGCAATCCAGAGACTACAGAGATTGACAGAAGTCATTTATTCCTCCCTTTTTATTGACTTTTCAAAGAAACCCACCACAAATCCCATCCAAGTTAGAATATATTGGTATGCTACTGCTGTTAAAAAAAAAAGCATGAAAAAATGTATAGTTGAAGACAATATTAAATTCTGATACATCTGTCATGTTCACTTAGAGTCATTATTATGGGACAGTGGAAGTACAGTGTACATACAGTGATAGTTAATTTGCCAGCTAATGAAGACATTAACTGAAATAATGAAAACAAGAATTGATCAGTGTGTATGCCTCCTCCTTAAAAGCCAATCGTCACTAAATAGGTAGTGTTTTTCATTGTCATGCAGCAATGATTGTACTCTCTCCACTTATTTGGGCTTCCGAGTTTTCATGTTTTTAGGGTGCTGGATGACTGAGGTTTTTTGGGAAAACGAGACTGTTAAAGGTGAAAGCTCAGTTTATAAACATGTTAATATAGAGCACACTATGTTTAAATTTTATGCTTTAACAGAAGGTTATCACTCTAGTTCCATGCCTTAATGTCTAACAGCAACAACATTCTTTTTTCCCCATAAGAGGAACTATTATGAATGCGCTATAATAAAAAATCAAGTCTTTATACCACCTATGTTAAATTTACCTGTTATATTAAGAGGCATGATCTGGGTTAAGTGCATAACACCATGTTAGAATATACCTAAAGTAAGAGGTTTTAATCAACTATGCTGTGGCTTAAACACCACTTTTCAGACATAACTCTGCATTATTTCTGAATTTTTAACATATCTCAATACCTTAAAAATATACAAATTAAAATAAATTATTATTAGATATTTCTTTATATCAAAGAAGAATCTTCAAACTTACAAAAAACAGTCCAGAGGTAAATATGTGTCATATCCCACTAGTCAAGATTTTAAAGTAACTGACATTATTCCAAGCTAGCTTCTTTCAACATACAGTTTATTGCCTCCCCGTCATTTATTACTTAGCTCACAGAAAGAAGACAGACCGCTTTATTTCAGAAAAATGTCTCTCGACAGAGTGGACAGGTGGATTTGTTGCTGGATGTGAACCATTTGTACTGAAAGAGAAATAGAACTATTTAATATAGGAATGCAAGCTGAATTTCAGGAACACTGGTTTATCACCAGTAATAACCATTATTTGCCAATGAATATAACTATCAAAACACTAACTATACTTTGAAAAAACCAACAAGAAACAGTAAAAAACCCCTTTCTACTTGTGTTGTATGCATGTGTGTATATATATACATATGTATATACACATATTACACACACACACAAAATACTCAAGTTTTATTCTAAAAAACCTGACACAAAGGAATTCTCATCCAGTCTCATTTTAGAAGAAAAAGATAGCATTTTTAAAGGAGCAATAATTCCTCTGTTATATGGCCATACAGATGCCAACCTGTTCCAGTATACTCTGCAACCACAGAACCAATGCCTATGATGACTTGGATATAGTTAAATGTTAATTATCCAGATCAGCATAGTTTACTAAAGAAAAGAACATGCTGCATAAATTTAAATTTAACCTTTTCTATTTCCGCATCTGAGCTGATAACGAGATGATGCTGTTGCTACACCCTACGTAGATGTAATGGCTTATGTCTTAGTGAACACAAAACGGATAGTTGTTATCTGTGAAGTGTAGCAACCCCTCCCTCATTACA